GTCCATGATGGCCATTTTCATTCCTAACGCCACGCCCTGCATTGCCTGTACTGGGCCGCTATTGGGCCAGTATCATACAGCCTGGATCTGGTATAATTGCGCATGCCTTGCCCTTTAATGCAGGGCAGGGAGTCTTTTACTATTACAGCTATGGTGATTTAATGATTTATTTCAGCCTAGAACCTGAAACAGCAGATTTTATTCCTGATGAGTATTTCCTGTAACTAAACTTTACATCTACGCTGAGAAAGGGGAGCTGAATGAACTAACGTGCTTATCCAGCAGTTCTACACAGCTTAGGAGCTGAAAAACTCCAAGGGCACCTTGGTGCTGGCAGATGAGGGAGGGGAGCACTCCCCACTCACTCCCACCTCCCCTGCTCTGAGCCCCTTGTCCAATCTGGTCACTCAAGAATGCTCTGCTGTCCTTTAGGCTACAGCTATCTGGAGACTAGCTTTACCTTGAGCTTTCTGACTGCATCCTTTACAACTTCTGTGCCTTTCGGAGCTTCAACCTCTGTGTTTCCAAGGAACTGAAAAGAGAACAAAAAGACGCACACAGTAAAACAAAAGGTGTAAACAAGTATTTAATTACATAGCCCAATACAAAGAAGATGATGAGGAATACTTCTAAAATTCAAAAAGCAGGTGAGGTGTCAGTGTGTGTATTAATAATATTTAATAATGTGTCAAATTAATTTATGACCTCTGTGATTTGCTTCATCCACTGTGCTCAATTCATCCTGTTATTTTCTTCTTCATGGTAGGTCTGTCACAGTGAGTCTGTGGTAGGTCAACGTAGTCAGGGTTTAAAGCACCGGCATGTTTTAATATAAATACCAATATCTGGCACCATGTCTGTGAAGGTTCTCAGTCATCCAGGTCATCGTAGTCAAAGGAGCTTGCAAAGAAAAGCGTCTGGACTTCTTTAAGTTACTTGAAGACGTTTCACCTCTCATCCGAGAAGCTTACTTGAAGAGGTGAAACGTCTTCAAGTAACTTAAAGAAGTCCAGACGCATTTCTTTGCAAGCTCCTTTGAATATCTGGCACCAGTGCATCATATTTATATCTAAGTAAACAAACGAATCCATAAAGGATTAGTTGGATCTTTTGTCAAACTGTAGGAAAGAGGCTTTCTCAGAGTTTAAAATCTGTGGAGCTTCATGTTTAAGTCACTAAAATCTCAAATTTGTCACTCTGACTTCAAATAAATGTAGATGATCTTTCACATCCTGAAGGCATTAGTACATATTCTTCTTCATCATCTTGCATTTCCTGTATTGCAAAAAGTTATAAAAGTGTCTTTTACACATGAGGATTGGATGAACACACACACACACACACAGACGCACACGAGCAGCACTTCTGCTGTTCACCAACAGATGGAGCCGTTAACCTTTGAGCCTGAACATCGTGCGCCCCATCTGGCAGCAACAGTTGTAATTGTTGCAGTCACACAGGTTGCTTCGCTGCTTCCTGAGCTTAATGTGTGGAGCCTGTTCCAATACCAGACTTCAAAAACACTGGTGTCAGAGCCTTCAAAGCTGGCACAAACAAAATAACAATGTCTCCCATTGGAAGCTGAAAGCAGCTCTGGCAGTTTGACTGTCTCTGTGACACATTAAAATCTTTGTGATGCAGACAATGACTTGGCTGTGCTAATACCCATAAAAATTTGGAGTGCACACTGCCAGCCGCCGTAGCTGTAATAACAAGAGGTGAAATACAGATTTTATTTGTATTTTTTTTAATCTTGCACATGTCTGACAGCGCTATAAAAGAACCCTTCTGTCAAAAATCGAATCAATTAATATAGCTTCTCCATCCAAAACGTGTCTGTGTAACTCTTTGGTGGCTGAGAGCCTCTGACGTCTTTCTAAATGCAGTAAGACAGGTGAACTAACACCAGACTGCAAGTTATCAATAAAGTCAGAAGACAGATTGAGGCTTCAGAGCAAAGTGTCAGCATTCTGCATCGGTGTGACAAATGTACTCTCCACACTTACACTCATCTCTGGGAGTGCTGCTGACAGATGCCCAGAATAGAGTGGAGTAACACTTGTTCCTGACCAGTGCGTTCTGGGCTGCGACTGGGGAGGTCTCACAAGGCAAACAGAGCTCGGAGGCTCATCCATCAACTGGTGCACGCAGCTGAAAACGAACCGGCCCTACCTCTCGTTGCCCGCAGAAAGAACTCACATTTTCAACTGCAGACACACACGTGTCGGCCTTGTGGCAGTTCTCAAATGTTCACTCAGATGACACAACATAGAGCTCGGTTCCAACTCACCATCCATCCGGTGTTCACTCCTCCCAGCTGAAAGTTCTCAGATTTTTTTTTTCTTATACACCTTCAGAAAGGGCAGGATCTGTGTTGTGCATAATTTAAGTGACTTGTGAATGTGACATGATTACTGATGAAAGACATGGCAAATCCAGCAGCTCACCTCTCAACATCCTCTTTCCTCTTTGAGCCCACAGGTCAATCACACTGAAGCTGCTCATAAAAAGCACCGTTGGAATTTGTATAACTGTCCGATCGGATCAAAGAACTGGCAGACCACCGAAACCACCGAAATCAAAGCTCACTTCAGTCTCAGCAGTCGTCACTGCGTACGAAGTTAAAGGTAGTACATTTTAAAAACAGTGGACTTAGTTCTTAACTGGGAAGTTGCTGCTGTGATTTGCTGATGACAGCATAACGATTTAGCATGAATATAAAACTGCAGATCTGTTGTGATTGGTGTGGATGTAAAGATACTGCTGCAAATATCGGCGAGGGAGACTTCCTGTGTTACCTGTTCTACAATTGTTCTTAAAATTGAACTCAAACATGATCAATTAAAGTAATTTGATATAGATATTTTATTCCTCTTAGGAATACGTTTAGTAAATTACAAAAGAAGAA